ATTGCTCATCATTATATAGCATCCTTTCTACTGGTAGCCGTGTGGCTTCGAAAGCCGACGTAGAGTCTTTGAAAGCAACGTGTCCAGTAGTTTTCTGTATGAAATTTCTTTATCGATTTATCTGTCATTTTATTTTTAGGGTCTGGCAAGACTGCGGCGTTTTTGCTTCCGATCATTAACCACATTCTTTGCGGAGGTCCAGAAATGCTGCGCAGAGTACGTATTGTTTATTTTAAGTTTATTTATTTTTGCTATCGTCCACCTATTGTTTTTTTTCTGTAGCCAGAGACGATTCCTAACGGACGTCGCCGTCATTTTCCGGCCGCCTTAATTTTGGCACCGACGCGCGAACTTACTCTTCAGATATTTAACGAATCTCGTAAATTTGCGTATCGTACTCCAATTCAGTCGGCCATCCTGTACGGGGGACGCGAAAATTACCGGGATCAGATTCATAAGCTGCGCGTAAGTCATCTGTAATGTTTCTTCTTTTACCTTTTGTTGTTTTCCGATGTAAATTTTCGTTTTTTCAATTTTGTTGTATTACGGTATATACGACTTTCTCTCAAAATCAAAGGCGTTTACCGGTGATAATTCCTTCTCTCAGTGCTTCACATCATTTCATGTGAAAGGAGCCGTCATCATGCCAGTGTCTGAGTTTCTGTCTAAACAGAAGTTGATCAGTGCAACTGTGAGTGTGCTACCGCGATAAACGAGGTACGCTCTTTTTCCGTCTGTGTTGTTCGTCCCACCTCGGCTGTTTAGATTGGGTTATTGCTAAACCAGCGAAATACGGATTAAATGCTGTTAAATATTGACTTTTTGCCTTAGTTCGTTTGTTTAATTCAATTTTTTCTACTTAGCTCGGATGCCAACTCTTGGTGGCTACACCGGGTCGTTTGAATGACGTAATTGAACAAGGCTACATCGGCCTCGAAACCTGCAGGTTGGTTGGTTTGTGTTGCTTTCTTCTTACGATTCTCGTCGTTTGTTTTCATTTCAGATTCCTCGTTCTGGATGAAGCAGATAGAATGCTTGACATGGGCTTTGAGCCCCAGATTCGTCAGATCGTGGAGATGAGCGGCATGCCTTCTCGTTCTCACCGTCAGACGATGATGTTCAGTGCTACGTTTCCACGTGAAATTCAGGTAATCGTAAAACTGCTTCGTGGACGTTGCCTCTCAATATTAGCTAATTTTTTTCTCTCTCTGAACTTAAAGGGTTCATTAATATTACCTCAGCAAATTGTTCTTGTAAGTGAATATGGCCCACACGATTCTCATACATTAGGGGTGCCTTCAGTTCAGTCTGTATGTGACAGCGTTTAAAGAACGTTTTGTTGTGGTTGTAACGGTTAAAAATTATATTTGTAGCAAAGTTAGTAAAACGAACAGTATTGCAATAAAAATCCAAAGTAAGTTTTCGTTGTGGGGACATCTTTTACTTATAAAGCGTATAAAACGCCAAGTCTAAAGGCCAGATTTAACATAACCTACCAACCCTCATCGACCGACATACAGATTCATAATAAAAGGTAAACCCATTTTTATGGGTTTCATAGCAAGCTGCTAGTTTTCAATATCGCCATCATGAATAGCAATTTTCTGTCCACTTTCCAACTTCTCCAGATGAAAACTAACAGTTTGTTAACAAAAATATAGTACTCAGATTTATTTTTATTATATACGCGGACGGATCGAGGTATTCGTTAATATTCGAACATGTTTTTGTTCGACCCAATTAGTGGCGATGTTTTGCGCCCATGCACAGTTCGTGTTAAAGGACCGTGGAGCCGTAGCCTTAAACAGTCCACTATACTATTACAAGCAGACGGATGGTGCGACTGCACCGTGTGAATCTGAAAAAGTGACAGGAGACACTGTGATTAATTCGTCATTTTGAACTGTCGCTGCGCGGGCTTTCCATGCAAGTTTGAACCAACCAAACGCTTTGTTTCGCGTGACCTCTGGCGTTTGTCATTCGTTCATCGGTTCCAAAGGGTAGCCACCATTCCCTGCAACTCATTTAGGGACTGACTAATTTATTGGGCATTTTCCCGCCACGCTCTCTGTTCGTGGTAGCATCCCTTGTTTTAATCACCATAGGTTTCATCAGGTCCCATGTCCTGATATTGTAAAGAATCTTGCGTCTGTGAAGCCGGGATGAAAACGATCTGATAGTAAATTTGCCTTGACACTATTTTTTAACGTTTCTAGAACTTCTTGGCATTGTACTTGTCCTTTGCTCGTTCCTTCATATAACATTGCTATAGTCCGCAGGGTCATGATATTTGGCCATCATATCCGGTATTGTAACTCGATGAGCTGTTCAGTTGTAAAATGCCTCCTGCCCCTTTCGATGAAATCTGATCTTTCGCCTTCTTCGACATAGGATTCATTTTGCCCTTTGACGTGAAGTAAACTCGAACATTTATATAGTTTATAATAATCATGATAGATTCTCTGTGACCTCAGGTCTGCGATGCAACGTAAATCAACTCACTTCGATCATTATGTAAATCATTCTTTGGCAGCTAAAATTGGAGTGTTTGAACGCTTTATGAATCGCTTTCGGCAGTTTATGTTCTGAGCAGCTGAACGAAAAAAACATCTGTACCACGTATTGAAATGCCGCTGAAATCTCAGAGTCGTTTCGTACTACGAGTTTCATACTCGCTACCTGGATAACGTGAAACATGGGGTTATGGGAGTCAAGTTACTTTAGTTGATAAAGGCTGTCAGAATTTGTCAAAACCTTTCTCCTTTCTGCGATTTTTACTACAGCGTGCATGAGGTAGAGTTAGCCTCTCTGCCACTGCGATAGATAAGACTAGGTTGCAGGCATAAACCGAGTTACCGTTGCACATCTTCTAAGGTAAAACAACCCCCATGTTCTGGGGTAGCTTTAGATACCGCCGTTAAATATATGATATTGTAAATAACGGTACGGTTTGATGCAGCGAAAATTCACAGTGTAAAGAAGGAAAAATATATTTATCACTTTGACCAACTGCGAGGTTTTACAGCCATCTTGCTTCTAGTCGCCTAGGTGATCATTTAAGCAGGCCACGGCTCCATGGTATGCTATTAATCTTTATCTCGTCAGTATAGAATTTCATGCTATTGTTCGACAGTCATGCATGTCTGTTTGTAGATTTTAATTTTTTAACAGTGATTTATTTTTCAGCTTCTAGCACAGGACTTCTTAGTGCCGGAATACGTTTTTCTCGCTGTTGGTCGTGTCGGTAGTACATCAGAGAACATCACCCAACGTGTCGCTTGGGTTGAAGAACAGGACAAACGTGCTTGTCTTCTGGATCTTCTGAACGCCGAACGTACGATTCGTTCCGTGATCTGACGCGTCGCGTGTAACTGTTTCGGAAAACGTTTTTCACCTTTTCTTGCATTTCTGAAAATTACAAATATCTGACCGCTTAGAATTCTCTCTCCTTTCATTTTCTGCCACGAGTGTTGTTTTTAGTAACAGTCCTCATTTCCGAGAGGTGGTGACTAGTCGCTGATACTGCACGATGCCATTAGTCAAGAGTCCCTTATTTAGGACGTCTGTCTGTTGCCGTGTTGCGAGCGCAGTGAGTAGCTTCCTGTGTCCTTTCAGCATTTAGTGGTGTTCGTAGATTTACCTTGAGAGGATCAGAGGCGATTTGCCCAACCCAGTTAAACTGCTGTTAATGTTAGCTTACGACATGTGTTAGTTAGCTATTATCTGTGACGAATCTTGGCGCGAGGCTTTATTGATACACTTTCGGCCAATATGAGGTACGGAACATCGAAGTTACTTTGCTCTGAGAAATTATCAGGTAGTCACCATGGTGATCGGTCAGCTGGCAGTCTTTTGCGGTTTCTGTACTAAGTGCTTCTAGAGGTCTTTCCCACTGATTGTCCCAGTTCGCTTTCAGAACCATTTTTGTTTTTCTCGTTTAAATATCATAAACGTTTTCGCTCCTGCTGATCCTGTTTCTCGGTAATCAGTTTCGTCTATTGGACATTCTTGTAATTTGAAACGGAACGTAGTTCTCGTTCGCTTTTTTCATTTCCTCCCCTCATATCCATTTTACCCTGATTCTCCTGCTGTTACTGCTTTATCTCACCCTCAATTGCAGATGAGACGCTGAAGAGGCGCTTACTTCCTAATCATTTGCTCCTGGTCACAGTCGTCATCAGTTTTGCACGGTTTCATACGGTCCTGTTGTCAGTGAACCGCTTTTTCCTAGTTTTTTTCCATACTGATGCTTGTCTGTTTAGTGCACAGGTTCAATCTGAACTTATTTGGTGGACATGGCCCGCAGCTCTTCCAACAGAAGCATTGTTGGCCCGTTTTTACTGGCGCTACATTCGCATAGCAAATTCAACAGTCGCATCTATATTTAGTCGTGCCACTTTGCATTCATGATTACCGGTGCCCAGCGTTCCATTCAGACTAGCTGCAGATCCATTTGTCTTGTATACAGTTTCCGTTTTCCTCTATAGCATCCTCTTGCCGCTCGACACTTCATATCGGCCTTCCGATGCTGTCACGGTTCTGTCTTTGGTTTTATTCGATTGAACAGTTTACTTTAATGTCCGTTGTTCAGCTTATCTCTACCTTCATAATTACGCTGCATCAGTGTACCTGAATTAATGAGCGTCATTCATTGTTTCTCCTGTTGATGTATCCCATGGGCATGATATATGTAAGTTCTTTCATCATTTTGCGTGCCCTGTGATGGCAACTGTCTTGCTTTATTTCACGTTGATTAATGGCGCAAGTTCATTGCGCTTCATTGACAACAACGAACAACTCTCTCATTCAGCTGTTTTCCGAAAACCCGTCCTTCGTGTCTCTAGCAACGACGCGTTAAGGGCATTAAGTCGATTTCAAAGTTAATTTCGTCTATCTGTGTTGCAGCTCCTGGCGCATTGACCCTTGTCTTCGTGGAAACGAAAAGAGGCGCTGCGGAACTGGCCAACTTCTTGACCCGCGAAAACTACAACGTCGTAGCTATCCATGGCGACTTGAAGCAGTGCGACCGAGAACGTCATCTTGAGTCCTTCCGATCAGGACAAACGCCAGTGCTGGTTGCAACTGCGGTAAGCGACCAGTGCCGGGCTAACTTGTCCGTTTATTGATATATCAGAGTTCGTGTATGCAGCCGATTTACGACCCCCTTCGGCAATGATATACAGTAAAATCCCGTCAGAGCTTAACAGTGTTTCTCCCTAGAGCGAAACTGCAGCAAAGTTACAAGCTGCATTAAGGGTTCACTGAGTTCAATTCAGGGTTATTCGCGCAAGTGATCTCCATAGGATATGACAAACGCGACACGTTAATTGAGTCAATTTCATTCTCCATGATTGATCAGTGATATGGAGCTGTAAGTTGCGAATGGAAATTTGCAGTTAGCGTCGGCCTTAAACAGCAGTACGCATAACTTGTAGCATTGTTACATCGACCCTGCTCACCGCTGATATACAAGGGATTTTTTACAGGTACACACAAACTTTTCAAACGGCGATTTTTTTGCCAGATCGTAGGCCGTGTGTGGAGGAGTTGGGCTTGTCCGCGAATACCCTCTATTTACTAGACGTGCATTGTATTGTTTCAGGTCGCAGCTAGAGGTTTGGACATTCCCAACGTAAAACATGTGATCAATTACAATCTTCCGTCGGACATCGATGAGTACGTTCATCGCATCGGGCGTACGGGACGCGTCGGAAATACCGGTTCGTAGCGCTGATGACAGCGATCGTCCAACCGCTTGAGCGGCTTCAGTTATAACGTAGTTGCTTTATAGGCCTGGCTACTTCTTTTTTCAACGACAAGAACCGCAATATTGCACGTGAACTGGCCGAACTAGTGCTCGAGGCCAATCAAGAATTACCTGATTGGCTGGAACGTCTGGCACGCGAGCATCCTCGGCAGGTGCACCATGGTGGTTCGAAGCCGCGCGGTCAACGGAAGTAAGTCTCTTTTTGTTCAGTGTATGGCTTTGTCTTATACCTAGACGGGGATTACCCGGTATAACACTCAAAAGGTCCTGCATTCGACGTCCAGTCATTTCGCTCCACTTTCTTCCTGATGAAGATAAACCCATTGTACTCCATGGGAAAGAAATAAGGGATTGCATGATATGTCGTCAAACTGAATCGTGTTGTCTTTATCCTTTTCATCTTTATCCTCCATGACCGTTTCTCCTTTCGAGTCGCGGAGGCAGACGTATCAGGTGTCTCCATCGTTCCCGATCCTATTCCAGATTTTGAGATTCGACAGAAGGCAGCCAGAGTCTAGAACAAACTCCTTCCATGCATTTCTCCAGGTTAATCTCGACCGTCTTATCGGACCTTCTGCCGAACAGTAGTTGCTTCGCCTTCATTTCAGAAAGTACTTTGTAACCCGTGTCCAAACCACCCCATCCGTTGCTTCTCAGTCTAAACAAGCAATGCTGTACAACAAGCTTCTCACGGATTTCTGTAGTCCGGACCATTTCGAGACGTGTAAGGCCAGCAAATCGTCTCAGAAAGCCCATTTCATCGCTTGTACCCGGGTCGAAGTTTTTAAGTCATAGTCCACGACTCATGACGTGGGTAAGCTTGAGGATTAAGATCGACTTGAACTCCGAGAGCTTACTTTTCAGGCTGAGCTTTGCTTTAGTCATGACGAATCAGGCTAATTCACAGAACGCCACAGGCTACTCCATTCCGCCTGTCGATTTCTTTCTCAAATTTTCAGTCACCATTAAACACGACCTCGAGGTACTTGAAATTCTCACCTGCCCCACTGCTTGCTTCTCCGTTAATCTGAAGAGAGCAACAGGCAGGAGAACGAGAATGCACTAGGCTTTTCGTTTTAGATACACCACTCGCATGCCGGCCATGTCACAATTGGCTACGAATTTTTTCAGACAGTTCTGTAGATCAGTTTCAGAAGATGCCAACAAGCTGCAAACAGCAACCTTTTCCTCCCGACATCCCCTTCACTGACATGCTCATCGCCTTGGCTGCACCTGACTATTCCATCCACGCGCAGTACAAGTTAGAGAGAGGACAGAATGCGACAGAATCTTTGGCGAAGACCAACGCGAACACTGAAACGTTTCGACTTTTCGACACAAAACCATTTACTTTGACGCAACACCTATCAGCTTATAGTGGTTGAATGGCCCGTTGCCACTGGCCATCGATCCCATGTGTTCCCAGGCATCTCCACAGATTGTTGCGCCGGTTTCTGGCATAGGCTTTCTCTAGGTCCACAAAGCACATGTACACCGGATAGGCGATTTTCCTCGATTTCTCAACAATCT